CGCAGAGAACGAGAGGGCACCACACTTTCAGACGAATTTTTGTTGCTGACGGACCAGGAGATTCCCAGTGGAGGAGCCCCATGGTCGCCAGTGCGAGTCTGGTGGCTGGCGTGGTGGTTTTGCTGGTGCCTTAGCACAGCAATTCTCAGTGCAGAGTAGACGGGACTGGGTCCCCTTTTGGTCAACGTTTGGAGCTCCGGAAAGGCAGAGTCGCCCATTCAGTTGATTGAAAAAGGGACTCAAGAGGGAAGCCAGACTGGAGATTCCCAGGCAGAAAAGCACCATGAATCTTAATTCCACTGTTTTAGCCGGTGCAGTGGGTTGCTCAGATTCCGGTGCTGGGAATCAACAAGTTTGACGTCCACTCAGAGACCTAATTTGAAAGTTGGTAATTACAAAGACGACAGGTGGATAAATTTACAATGATGGGAAGAAACCAGCATAAAAAGGCTGAGAATACCCAAAATCAGAATGCCTCTCCCTCTACAGGGGATCACAGTTCCTCATCAACAGGGGAATAAGGCCTGATGGAGAATGAGTGTGTTGCATTAACAGAATTAGGCTTCAGAAAGTGAATAATAAGAAACTTCTGTGAGTTAAAAGAACATGTTCTAGCCCAACGTAAAGAAACTAAGAATCTTGAAAAAAGGTTTGACAAAATCCTAACAAGAATAGACAATTTAGAGAGGAATATAAGTGATTTAATGGAACTGAAGAATACAATACGAGAACTCTGTGAAGTATGCACAGGTTTTAACAGTCAAATTGATCAAGCAGAAGAAAGGATATCAGAGGTAGAAGACCAACTTAGTGAAATGAAACGAGAAGACAAGACTAGAGAAGAAAGAGTAAAAAGGAATGAGCAAAGTCTCCAAGAAATATGGGACTATGTGAAAAGACCTAATTTACATTTGATAGATGTACCTGAATGTCATGAAGAGAATGAATCCAAGCTGGAAAATATTCTTCAGGATATTATTCAAGAAAACTTTCCTAACCTAGTAAGGCAGGACAATACTCAACTCCAGGTAATACAGAGAATACCACAAAGAAATTCCTCAAGTAGAGCAACCCCAAGGCACATAATCATTAGATTCACCAGGGTTGAAATAAAGGAGAAAATTCTAAGGGCAGCTAGAGAGAAAGGTCAGGTTACCCATAAAGGGAAGCCTATCAGACTCACAGCAGATCTCTCAGGAGAAACCCTACAAACTAGAACAGAGTGGGGGTCAGTATTCAATATCCTCAAAGTAAAGAATTTTCAACCCAGAATCTCATATCCAGCCAAACTAAGCTTCATAAATGAAGAGAAAATAAAATTTTTCACAAACAAGCAAGCACTCAGAAATTTCATCACCACCAGGCCTGCTTTACAAGAGCTTCTGAAAGAAGCATTACTCACAGATAGGAACAATCAGTGTCAGTCATCCCAAAAACTTAGCAAAAGGTAAAGAGTATCTCCATAATGAAGAATCTATATCAACTAATGGGCAAAATAGCCAGATAGCATTAAATGATAACATTAAACTCACAAACATCAATATTAATCCTAAATTTAAATGGATTAAATGCCCCAATCAAAGACACAGACAGGCAAATTGAATAAAAAGTCAAAATCCATTGGTACGCTGTATCCAGATCCATCTCAAAAGCAAGGACCCACAAAGACTCAAAACAAAGTATTAGAGGAAGACTCACCAATCAGATGGAGAGCAAAAAAGAAAAAAAGGAGTTGTAACTTTCATCTCTGACAAAATAGACTTTAATAGTAACAAAGACTAAAAGAAATAAAGAAGGGCATTACATAATGGTAAAAGGATAGCAACAACAGGAGTCCATGATTATAAATATATATGCACCCAATATAGGAGCACCCAGATACATAAGACAAGTTCTTAATGACTTATAAAGAGACTTGGACTCCCGCACAATAATAGCAGGAGACTTTGACACCACATTGTTAATATTCGACAGATCAACGAGATAGAAAATTAACAGGGACATCTATGATTAGAACTCAGACCTGGAACAAGTAAACTAAGTGAATATTTACAGAATTCTTCACCCCAGGTCCACAGAATATAGATTTTTCTCAGTATCACGTTACACCTGTTTTGAAAGTGACCACATAATTGGAAGTAAATCACTCTTCAGCATTTGCATAGTATTTCACAGACTTAAATGAAATATTGGTTGGCTGTTTGTTACTTTCTTTCCTTATTCCTTCCTGTCTCCGCTGTTAAGCACAATTATCAGCATAAAAGAGGTTTTTAATACCTATTTTTAGATTGCATTCCAGCCTGGGCTAAAATAGAGCAAGACTCCTGTTCTGTCTCCCCCTTTCTCTTTCTCTTATTTTCTTTCAAAAAAAAAAAAATGTAAATAATGAAGAATGAAGAGTTAAAAAAATGAGTTTGCTTTGAACCTATTCCCTAATCCTTGTCTCTTTTCAGAGAAAATATCTATGTTTTGAATGCCTCTTTCTGTTTTCTCCATGTATTTATATAGTTTTTTTTTTAACCAAATGGCATTAGGCACATAATGTGTTATTTACAATGTTCTCTGTTCTCTGACTTTTTCATTCTCATTATATGTCACTGTAGATTTACTTCTTTATTTTTAAGAGACATGTAATATTCTCAAGGATAGATATGCTGTAATTCATTTAATTGTTTCCCTGTTGATGAATATTTAGATTATTTCCAATATTTTGTTATAGGTTATTTCAACAAATGTTTATTGACTGTCAGGCAGTGCTTGTGAACAAATCACAGAAGTTCTGCTCTCATGTAGTTGCCTTCTGGAGGTAGACTGGCACCAAATAAATATATGTCGATATTGAGGAATGTAAGGTGAGGAAGGAGATAAGGAGTGAGGGGGAGAGGTGTGCATTTTAAAATGGGGTGGTTAGGAGAGCGTTACCAGTAGGTAACATTTGAGTGGAGATCTGGTGAACATAGCATAATGAGCTCTGAAGGTGTTGGTAGGGGAAGAAGAGGGGAATAGAACATTTTGGGAAGGAGAGAAGTCCAAAGGGAGGTAGGCATGTGCCAGATGTCTGAGGGGAAAAACAATGAGGTTGTTGTGACTGGAGTGAAATGAGCAAGGGAGAGTGGGAGATGAAGTCACAGAAGGTGATGGAAAGTCAGGGTAAATTGTGTTGAGCTTTTTGAACCCTCTGTAAGGATTTTTAAAAGATAAATATTTAATTTTATTTTAAAAATAGAGATGCGGTCTCTCTGTTTTGTCCAAGCTGGTCTTGAGCTCCTAGGCTCAATCCTTCCACCTTGACCTCCCAAAGTGCTGGGATTACAGGCACAAGCCACTGCACCTGGCCTATAAATATATATTTTAATTATAGATATGGGGTCTTCCCATGTTGCTTAGGTTGATCTCAAACTCCTGGACTCAAGCAATCCTCCTGCCTTGGCCTCCCAAAGTGCTGGGTCTATAGGCATGAGCCACCATGCCAGGCCCACTGTAAGGATTTTTGCCTTATTTAGAATGAGGTGGCAGGCCTTTAGAAGTTTCTGAGCAGAAGTGTGGCATAATCTTATTTACATTTTGAATGGTCTCTCTGTATTCTTGATAATAGACTTTGGCCAGAAGCAAGACGGCTATGTAGGAGGGTATTCAGGCATGGTTTGATGATCGTTTGGACCAGGGTAGTTAGCAGTAGAGGTGGTAGGACATAGTTAGATTCTGGATGCATATTAGAGATGAAGTGTGAGAGAGTATTCAGGGATCACTCTGAAATTTGGGGACTGAAAAATTGGAAAGTTGGAGTTGCCATGAAATGAAACGATGAAAACTGTAGTAGACAGCCTTAGGAATTTGGTTTTGGGCAGGTACTGTTTGAGAATTTATTAGACATCCAATCAGAGATACTGAGTATGCAGCTGGAAATGTAGATATGAAGTTCAGTGAAGAGGACAGGGATGGAGAAGCAAACGTTGGAGTCTTCAATTTACTAATGCAATTTAAAACCCTCAACTTACCTAGGAGTAAATTAGATAGAGAAGAGAGGGACAGCCCTTGGGTACTTCAAGGTTAAGGGGCGGAGGATCTGAGAAGGAAGCATTGAAGAGATCAAGAAAGGCGCCAGTGAGATAGAAAGGAAACCAAGAAAACCAAGAGGAGAGAGTTAACAGTGTCACTCAAGGAGAACTTAGAATTGACCATTGAATTTAACCATGTGGCAGTGTGGGTGACCCTGCCAAGTGCAATTTTGAGAGAAAGTAAGGTCATCTGATTGTAGATTTGAGAAAGAATGGAAAGAGAGGAATTAGAGACAGTATAAGCACCTCTTCTGAGGAGTTTGTTGTAAAAGAGAAAATGGGGCCTTAGCTGGTGGGTGGTAGGAAGTCAAGATTTTTTTTTTTTTTTTGAAGGGGGGGATTCTTTCTTAGATGGAGAAATAAAACATTTAAATTTATGGGTAATTGTCCAGCAGAGGGACAGTTTGATACAAGATAAACTGGAGGAAGCTCAGATACAAGTTTGAGGAGAACATTTTAATTTATATGCATATGTGCAGGGATTTTTATAGGCTGGATTCTTAAAAGGATTTCCTGAGCCAAAGGGTATGTGCATTTTAAAAAACCTGTACCAATTTATATTCCGCTTTCACTGTATACCCTTTCTAACATTGAACATTCTTAATCTTTAAAATTATTGTCAATCTGATGGTGATGATATCTTCATTATTTTAATTTGTTTTATTGCTTTCTAGGAACTGTTTATTTAATCTATCTAATTCTTTATGATATTTTGTCAAATATTTTCTCCTGGCTGTCTCTTTCCTTTTAACTTTGCTTAGGGTATCCTTTTACCATGTAGGACTTTTCAAAAAGGTTTTTATGTAGTTAAGTTTGTCAGCCATTTCCTTTTATAGCATTTGGGTTTCATTTAGATAATATAAATATTTTATATAGTTTATTTTTGTGTATTTTATGAAATAGGTATCTAAATTTTCCATCTTTTTCTATATTCTTAAACAGCTAAATACCATAGGAGTTAACTGTTTCTTGAAGGGTTGAAAGAAATTACCTATAAAATCTTCTAGGACTAGAGCCACTTTGGAGGGTAGGTCTTTGACTACTGTGTAATTTTTTTCTGTGGTTAATGATCTGTATGGTTTATGCACTTCTTTTTAGTTTTGGTAATTGATATCTTCCCAAGAAAGTCATTTTTTTCATTTACATTTTCAAATTTATTGGTTCAAAATTCTACATAAAGTGAGGAAATACCAAGTCTTCTGTGTACTTAAACCTTAATCTAGGCAGTAAATGCTGGAGCTCTCCTTTCACTGATCTGGAGATTAGGTTAGCTGTTTTCAGCCCTTATGGAGCTTGTTCTTGGGGTTATTCTTAAATTCTCATTCTCTTTTGTTTGTAAGGTTAAGGTTTCTTGGCTTGTTTCCTTTTCCAGTCTGATCCCATTTGCTCCTTTTTTTTTTTTTTGAGACAGTTAACTCTGTTGACCAGGCTGGAGTGCAGTGGCACAATCTCGGCTTACTGCAACCTCTGCCTCCCAAGTTCAAGCGATTCTCCTGCCTCAGCCTCCCAAGTATCTGGGATGACAGGTGTGTGCCACCACACCTGGCTAAGTTTTGTATTTTTAGTAGAGACGGTGTTTCCACCTTGTTGGCCAGGCTGGCCTCGAATTCCTGATCTGCCTGCCTCAGCTTCCCAAAGCTCTGGGATTATAGGTGTGAGCCATTGTGCCTGGCCCAATTTGCTTTTTAGCTTACGCAGTTTCTCCTATTGAAACCTGCTGGCAGATCTGTGCTTTTCTTGGTTTCCAGCATTTTTATTTTCATATTTCTTTTGTCATACTGTAGGGATTTTTTGGGAGGGATGTGGGGCAAATGCATAGTTTTAGTTAACCTTTTGAAATTGGAAGTCAGTTCTTTTCTGTGTAGTTTTCTTTTATTATGATCTTGTTTAATTGCTGTTTGCACAGTAGTTGGATAGTAACTTCACAACTCAAGTAGTGATAGTCAGTTAGGCGTGACTTTGTTTTTTTTTAATGAAACCAGATGTCTCAGTGGAATATACTCTTTCAGAAGAAATGTTGATATGTTGTCACTAAACATTCAAATAGTACTTTTCAAACTTAAAAGACATAATCATAACATTTAGAACTGTAAGGGAGTTTACAGATCATTAGACCAACTGCTTTATTTTATGGATGAGGAATTTGAATCCCAGAGAGATTCAGTGATTTATCTCAGGTAGCAAAGTCAGTGATCAAGACAGTCCAAGTCTCTTTACTTCCATTCGGCTATGCTATTTGCTGTCATACACATTCATACTGTTCTCCTTACCTGTGTGATAAAGGAGGTATTTCTGTTAATACAAAATTTTTTTTAAATTTAAAGATGTTACTTGTGGCTTGGAATTGCTTGTAAAATTTGGTCTGAGATACTTTAATAATACATTGATATAGATTTGCTTTTTCTCATATAGGTATTAATTATTATGATACAGATATGAATTTTTAAAGTATGGGCTGTCAGAGTATGCACTAGCACAAATGAAAACTGTATTGTTTATTTCCCCCATATTTCCTCTTTTCTGCTTATGGGCTTTATATGATTTATGGACTCTGGATTTCTTATTAATATTTTAAAGAAGCTTAAGGAGTATAAATAAGAATATATATAGACTTGAAAAATGATTTCTGTAATACATAGGATATCTGAGACCTAAGATTTTTACTTTTTTAGTTTAATATAACATGCTCCTAGATCAACACCTATATTTAGAAGGGCTAACATATATATATATGTATATGTAAGTGCTTTGCTTACCATTTCTTCAGCAATCATTAGGGGATATATTTATCAAACTTTCATTGCTTTGCTAATTCAACAGAGAGTTTTTAAAGTGTAGGATTTTGATTATCACTATCAAAAGCTTTTTAAAAAAATACGAAAAACAAAAACAAAAAATTAGCTGAGTGTAGTGACATGGGCCTGTAATCGCAGCTATCTGGCAAGCTGAGCTGGAAGGATCCCCTCGGCCCAGGAGACGGAAGTTGCAGTGAGTGGTGGTTGCCCATCTTGGGCGACAGAGGGAGACCTCATTTCAAAACAAAACAAAACAAAAATGTTGAGGGTTTGGTGTGCATAGCATTAGTGGACTTTGGTTAGTTCTTCTTCCACAGCCCACCAAGAAACTTAAGAAGGAAACCAATTGGAATGTAGTTAATATAGAATTAAATTCTAAAAAGATTTGTTTATCTTTAGGTTTTAACTAGATTGTTTTGTAAACTAAATAACAAGCTCTGTCTCTAATACGAATGCAAAGAATTCCTTTTTTTCCAGTCAGCCATAATGGCAGGTGAAGAAATTAATGAAGACTATCCAGTAGAAATTCATGAGTATTTGTCAGCGTTTGAGAATTCCATTGGTGCTGTGGATGAGATGCTGAAAACCATGATGTCTGTTTCTAGAAATGAGTTGTTGCAGAAGGTATTTTAAAAACGTAATTTCCTAAAAATGAATTTCATAAAACAAAATGCTATTTTGTGAAACGTGGAAGAAACACATTAATGACATATGCTCCTTTTCCCTTTTATCTCAATTTTATTAGTGTCTGGGTATTTTTAGGGGTGCAAAAAACAAAACTCCAGACTTAAGAAATACTTCCTAACTATGTTTTTAACTTGGTTTTGGAAAAAAAGGAGCACTCACAGTATTCTTTTTGACAGACTCTATCTTTGACCTTTTAAGCATTACAATGATGTTATCAGGGTTTCTGGAAACCCTGTAGGACAAAAACAGTAAATTGACTTTGACAGTGTAAAGCAAATCTCATTATGTTTCTTCTGTCTTTGGTATTGCCTAAGCATTTTAGCCTGCTTCTTATACATAAATGTATCATGTACAGTGTTTATATTGATAAATTACTTTTGACATACAAAACCCAGATCATAACCCCTGAAATTAAAATAATTCAAAAGAATTTTTCTTGAGTTATACACTTTCCTTGTCTAACTAAAGATGATACCCTCAAGAGAAGATTTGTGGACAAAAGTCACTCATTAACAGAACAACTTCTTTTTATAAATTATTTTCAGATCATTTGGTTATTGGATTATATGAAGTGAAAAAAAATTTTTGTTACATTGTACTTGGTAAAAGTTTAAAATGTTATCAGATGGTGTTCAAAGTTCATGTATTTTTTTTTCTGTATCATTTTCTCTCTTTCTTTTTTAACAGTTGGACCCACTTGAACAAGCAAAAGTGGATTTGGTTTCTGCATACACATTAAATTCAATGTTTTGGGGTATGTGTGTTACTTTGGAATTAATTAGAAAGAAAATTATTTACGTGAAAGGTGATTTACTTTTTAAAATACTAACAATTTATATGCAATTATACTTCATAACATTTTTAATAGTCAGATATTTATTTTTAAATCTGGATGCCAATGAGCCACACATAGATTTAGTATTCTATGGAGATTGAATAATTTAAAGTTTAATTGTTTGTAGGACTTTCCTTATTTGTGAATAACTAGTTTATTTAATTGGAATGTTTTAAATTAATACATACACCATTTTATTCCATGAAATCTTTCTCTTGTAGTTTATTTGGCAACTCAAGGAGTTAATCCTAAGGAACATCCAGTAAAGCAGGAATTGGTAAGATTTTAATTTCCTTTTATTTTATGTATTTGTTGTATTCCTGAAGTTTGTCACACGAATAGGGAGAACAGCATATGAGTTGAAATTATGAAAGTGAGCCAGACCTTATCATCTTTGTTTTTTTTTCTCTTACCTGTTTCAGATTGGTATTCCATATATTATATAAATCTCTGAATGGGAAAATGTTATGATTCTAGTAATTATTTATAACATATTATTCTTCCTATAAATTCTTGAAATCCTGTTTATCTCCAGAACTACTTTTTTTTTTTTTTTAAACTTCTATACAGTTCTTAAAAGTATATTCTAGTTGATTTACTAGCAAAGACGGGAAAGTTTCTCCCCCCACCTTTTCAATTCTTCCATTAATTCATTTTCTCAGCAGTAAAGAATTCAGTTCAGCAACAAAGCTAAAAGCTTTTTTGGCACCAGTTGTATGTGTACTGTCCAGTAATTCTGCATTAGTGACATATTTACAACCTGTAATAAATCTTCTAGGTTTGTCTTTGTATTCCATTTAGATATATAAGTACAGTATATAAGGTCTGGTATCTTGGAGTTTTTGCTGACTTCAAAAATTAAATCATTCAATTTGAAGGGAAAAATTAGAAATCAAACTTAGGGTTACCTTCTTGACTTGGCTTTATGAATAAGAATATTAATAAATTGATTCTTTGTGTTTATAAAATATAAGGCAAATATAAATATAAAATACCCTTGACATTGTATTCTTGTTCTCAAGTCTTAGGGTAGTTGATATGTATGTTATTTACAACTTAGTAAAGCACTTGGTCATTTATTTTTTGAAAATGAGTAAGCCAAATCTGTTGTCTTCATTTTTTAAACATGTAGTCTAAGGCATTTCCTTCTTTTGAAGTTCTTGGTTGGGTAGCGGGGGATAAATTTATTTTTAAATAAAACAATTGTGAAAGATATTTAAAGCAAAAGTGTAAAGCAATATGATATGCAGATCTTGGTTTGACCAATGATATGGCTTTAAACCTTAAAAATGATGAGTTGTATCGTCTGTTTTCAGCTTCCAAATATGGACTTCAGATACAGTTTGTCTTTTTTCCATTAACATTATTTGGAGTACTTGATACTGTTTTAGTGAAAGGATAAGATCATTTGTTTTCTTTCTACCTTCTGAAGTAGTACGTTAATATTCTAGATAAGAGTTGGTAAATAAAAAGCATGCATAAACCTGTTCCCCTTTTCTGACCTTGTGTAGATGTTACTGATTGATCACAGGGTTAGTGTGTGATAGGAAACCTGTTTGCCCTATATATCACAAATGGGAAAAGTCAGTTTACTTATTCAACAAATATTTGAGTGCTTACTGGGAACTAGGCATTATTTCCAAGTGAGATGATTCCTCTGTGAATAAAGCTGATCCCTGCCCTTGTGGCAGACACCAGACTGTATCTAATGGAGGGAGACAAACAATAAACATAATAAAGTGAACAAAGAAGAGATATGTATGAATATGTAGTATGTTGGAAAGTTATGGGAACAAAGAAAAAGAGTAGGGTAAGGGGGATTGGAGTGCTTGGGTAGGACGGCAGTGTTTGTTTTTTTTTTTTGAGAGAGGAGAGAGGAGAGATGGGAAGGACTGCAGTTTTAAATGCTGAAGTCAGAGATTCATTGACAAGGTTAACATTTGAGTAGACTAGAAGGAAGAGAGGGAGTGGCTGTATGGGTAACTGAGGAAATACTCTTTGAGGAATAAGGAGGCCAAAGACCCCAAGGCAGGGTTGGTGTGTGTGTGCTGCAGCTGGTATCCACCATTGTAAGCACTGTGCTTTTTACTCAGACAGAAATGGGGCGCCACTAGAGACTGTGGAGCAGAGTTGCCAGTTTTTCACAATGAAAACATTATAAGAATGTACATTTTTCTGTGTATGCGTTTTCTGTGTAAAGCTTATTTTTAAACAGTGATCAGTCTTTTACTCTGCTGTTTTATGGCTCTTAACAACTTTACCTTCTCCATTTGAAGTATAAGATAGCCATTTATGCTGATTCATGGTCTCAGAAGATTCAAGGTGGTATGGCAACATACTATGTTTCTCACCTGGTAAAGTCTGATTAGAACTGTATTTTTAAAGAAAATTTCACGTACTTACCAATCAAACTATAAAACCGAATAATTTGTATTTTCATTCTTCCTATTTTAATTGTTACACTAGATGGTAATGTGAAAAACCATGTATTTCCTGTTTAGAAAAAATTCAGGTTAATTTAGTTTGTATTTTGCAAGTTTATGAGAGCTCAGGTTTTTTACTTTAGATACAAAACAGTTAATATGTAGATTTATGTTAATGGTGATTACAAAATGTATAACCACCTAGAAAGTTTCAATTCAATGTTTGTTTCTGGAGTGATGTCAGTATGATTCTTCCTCTTTGGAAACAGAATTCTGAAATGACTTTTTAACATCTGTCTCTCCCCACCCTCTGACTATGGACTTCAGGCAAGCAGGGAGCATGTTTTTCCTATTCATTTGCACTTCCTAGCACCATGCACTCAATAGGCAATATGTTGAATTTAACTGAGATACAGTATAATACAACTTAGTCATGGTGAACAGCTTAGTAAATCTATTGCCTGCCTTTCTTTTTTATCTTTAAGGAAAGAATCAGAGTATATATGAACAGAGTCAAGGAAATAACAGACAAGAAAAAGGCTGGCAAGCTGGATAGAGGTGCAGCTTCAAGATTTGTAAAAAATGCTCTCTGGGAACCAAAACCGAAAAATGCATCAAAAGTTGCCAATAAAGGAAAAAGTAAAAGTTAACTTTTTGATTTTGATGTATATATATTCAAAAAGTACATCATTTTTTTCCACAAAATAATTCTGTGGCAGTGCAAAGTTTAAATGTGTTTCTTATTGAATTAATATATATATTTACAGTAAGTTTGTAAAGCTGAATACTTTCCTTTCCAAAGATTGTTATTTTTCTTGATTTGCATTATGAGGATTTAAACATTGTGATATATTTTATATTTATAATTTACCATCTCTTTTGATGAAACTCTTATTTCTTTCTATAGGTCAATCTTGCAAGAATCATTTTATAAGCAACTGTGAAATTTAAGTAAAATGTTCTTTGTAAACATTTGTACTATTTTAAATGAATAATGACCTTATGAAGTATGCTTTCTATAGACTGAAATTATAGGTATATCTGTTTTCACTATATGACATTAAGAAAGCATGAAATGAACTAAATGTTCATTTTTTTTCTGTTTAGTTACTTGATCATGTTTTCATGATTTTAGGAATTACTGCTTTGTTGATATTCAGAGTGTGAAACTAAAACTTTATAGTTGTACTTTAATTCTTGGCATGTTGCCTCTGTGTCCCATTTAAAATAAAATACATTCTCATTAACTTTAGATGGGAAATAAAGTTGTATGTTGATGGATAAATTTTGGCATGATGACTATACTCTCTCAATAAAGGCTGAAAATGTTGTATAACTGACCTGTGTATTTTTATCTTTTGAGTAAATTTGCCTTTCAAATTAGGAAGCTAGGTTTTAGAAGCATCACAAATAGAGAAATTTATGGGTTATTGTTCCTGTTGCATGGTGTCCATAGTTCTTTTCATCTCATTTTTTTTCATTTCATGTTTTTGAGGCTGTATCAAGTACATACAAGTGTTTTGGAACAATGTCTTATGTTACATAATGCCACTTAAGCAGAGGAGATGTCCAAAGAAGATTACATTGTGTTTATATTGTGATTTATTTTTCTGGAAATTAGTTACAGAGAATACTACATAGTAAACCTTTTTAAAAATGTCTAAGCCCATGAATTTTAATTACATGCCCTTAATGCTTTCAGTGTTTGAATCTGTATCATTATGTGTAGGAATGCCAAGTATAGTAAAGTACTTTAATTTTTGAAAAAGCAGTTGTTAAAATTTTCTGTGTGATTAATTCTTCATAAGTAACCTTGAATAAATGGATTTCTTGATTTATGATAGCAGATATTGGAAATGGTCTTAAAATGTAATGGATTTTGAAAAGCATGTTGAACTCTTTCTATGACACATGAAAAGGAAGTCACTGATAAACGCAGAAAGTCTTTTCTGGCTCTGATGTCAGACAGTTTTTGAAGTGGAAGAACATTAACATTTATTCTTATTTCACTCCTTTTTTCACCTTCATCCCCAAATTTCTAGCTATTTTTAAAAATAACCTCTTTGTGAGATAAATGTGTTACTGTTAAGATCAAGTCTAGTTTACATGTCTTTGTGTTGTTTATTGCAAATAACTGTATTTGAGTTTCTGTATATTTTCTAATTTCATAAAAGAAAAATAGCTCAAATGAAAAATGTTATACAATTGTAGAAAATTATTACTGGTTTTAGCTAAATTATTGGTTTATTAAAGTCCAACTCTACATTCTATTAAATGATATATTTTTTTCTTTTCCAAGTGAGGATGCTTTAAGATAAATTACATATTCTTTAGTGAGTAATTCTTTCATTGTTTGTAGTAGAAATAAAAGATGTTTTGAGTATATTGCATTTTATTATGTATAAGTTTAAATACTTAGCGCATAATAAAGAGCCGAATGTCTGTAGTGCTTTCGGTTGCTTATTTGCTGATTGTTTACACTGCCAGATACCGTGCTAGGGGCAAGCCTCCAAAGACATAACTACAGCCTTAATCCTATTTATATAAGGTGTTAAGAAAGAAATAGTCTTTTTATTCAATTCAGTTTCTCAGAGTTACTGGAAAATTTATGACAAATTGTGCTGATTAACCTTATTCAGAACCGTAAAGGGTGATGTGTATGGTTGATCTATTTGACTATGGTGCAGTTATTGTTAACATAGTTTGTTCCAAATGATAATCTGCTCTAAGTTTAGATGTTAATTACATCTTTTATTAATGTCTTTGGGAATTAACAAGTTGGAGAAGTTGCATCTTTAGATATTTTTAAGATTAGAATTATAGTCTATTAATCTTATACTAAATAATGAGATCTTGTATTTTAATATTATTTTAAGTACTTTTTTTTCTTGTTCATAGTTGTAAGATGGGAATTCCTTTTAGTAAAACAGAATATGTTAAGTGAAAAATTGAAGCTTGAATTATGTTACATTCCTGGAATTAGGAGGTTATGTCAGGTTGATTAGTTTTTAAGATACCGTGTAGATTAAAAAATTCTTCTACTTAGCGATTAGAAATGGATTGACATTATTTCTGAATAAGGTATTTAAAATTGACCAGAAGTGTAGGAAAGTCTTCAAAAATGGACAGTGTATTGAATGTAAGTACTTTTTTGTTAAGTAGGTCACTGGAGAAAAAGATACTTTAGGAATCACACAGTTTATTATACAGTTAAATTATAATGTTATTCAATAAATTACCAGAAATTCTGGCTTTGCAAAGTGACATTAACTGAGAAAGATGTGAACAGTGACTCTGAGCCTCATCTAATAGCTAAATTTGGTATAAAAAGGGAAGGAAAAGCACTGAGGTCTCATTTTCTCCTTTCATAGCATAGTTAAAACTTGCTCAGATAAATTCAGTGGCTCTTCCTGAATGATCTTGGTAACAACCTATTTTATATCAATGTGATGTGAACATAATTTACAAATATAAACATTTATCTTTCCCTATATTCTGATCTAAAACTCTCCAGTTTTGGAAATACAAGCCATGTTTTGTTTATATATTAGCATTTTATAGTTGTCATTAACAATTATGTTGGCAGAAAGTATACAGGATTTTATAATGGAATTCTGTAGATTTGTTTCACTTGAATAATTTGCTATTATGTTACCTGTTAGTGGGTTTTCAAGAAGATGGTTTGAATGTTTATTTGGTTTGCAGATTCATTTTCCTATCAAAGTGGGCTTACAGCCATAGACTACTCTTTGGAATAGCCACCCTCTGACTTGATGTGCCTCTTTAAAGTGCTTATTTATGGCATAACTTTTTATTATTCCCTCAAAAAGTCTGAGATTATGGCATAATTTTTTAACACAACCAGAAAGATTAGTAAGGTGTTCTGAAAAGAGAGAGCTGTAGTGATAGCTATTGGCAATTGAGGTTTAATTTTTAACTTTATATCTCCCCACTCCCTGCCCAGCTAGAAACCTGAACCAACTAGCTCTGTGCTGGTCATCTGTTCTTAAAAGGTTGAAATGAGATGCTAGTTTTACTCCTCTCACCCTAAGGCTTGAAGTTTAGCAAATCTATCGTAGCCGAATAACTGTATGCAAGATGTCAATTTTGTAAAGTGATATATTTCAGACAGTATACAAAATTTGATGGTGGGAAAAATAGGCTTTTGTAAATGAAACATTTAAGAGTCTCTTTTTTTATTTGCTTTTCAGTTTAGTGTTGCCTTGAAGGTGTACCATTTCAGTTTGGCAGCTGCAATAAATGACTGAAGAAAATTGAAGATGATAATTCAGCATTTCAAGATGCTTCTGCTGAAATGAGTGTAGACCTACCCAGAGCATGAATTTCAAGTTTATAGTAATACAATATTTTAAAGCCAAGTACCCAGGCAATTCATAGTGATATAATTTGAATGAGATTATTAGGAGGAATAGGGAAGAATGCCTTCAATTTCTTGTTATGTAGGTATTATCTATTGAGATGCTATGTTGAAAAATGTTACTGTAAAAAGAATAGAAGCTTGTTAGATCCAATTTGCTATAGAGTACAATTTGTCTTGGACCTTATTCAAAGAACTTTATTATTAAAATAACACAAGAATTATAACAAGGAATCACTTCTGATTTAGTGCTAGAGCAATGGATTGCCTATGGACCGTGTTCTAATGTGTGTCTGGTATTGTTTCATTTGGAGCCTTTAATCTCACTAATAATGCATTCCTTGGCTTAAATTTAAACAGAAATCATTTGCTACCCTAGTTTTGATACTGCATTATTTTTCCCTTAAAGAGATGATTGGCCGGGCGCGGTGGCTCAAGCCTGTAATCCCAGCACTTTGGGAGGCCGAGGCGGGTGGATCACGAGGTCGAGAGATCGAGACCAACCTGGTCAACATGGTGAAACCCCGTCTCTACTAAAATACAAAAAAAATTAGCTGGGCATGGTGGCGCGTGCCTGTAATCCCAGCTACTCAGGAGGCTGAGGCAGGAGAATTGCCTGAACCTAGGAGGCGGAGGTTGCGGTGAGCCGAGATTGCGCCATTGCACTCCAGCCTGGGTAACAAGAGCGAAACTCCGTCTCAAAAAAAAAAAAAAAAAAAAAAGAAAGAGATGATTATTTAAAAGTTGCTGGATTTTGTGGGTTTTGACATTTGTGACTTTTAACACTTGTGATTTTTACTATTTGTGAGTAACTTTTAGAAGGTTCATGGAGTATACAGTATCTTGTAATTTTGCCAAGACCCAGTCTTAATTCTTGCTAAATTCCAGGCAGGAAGGCATTAGCTAATGATTCAGCTTGGCTAACCTTTTAACATCCACAGCATTTTTTCATCACTTGCAGTCTCATTCATTTATTCACTCATTCATTCAACAAATATTTATTGAACTCCTGTGTACCAGGTTCTGTTTTAGGCACAAGAGATTCAGCAGTTATCCAAATATGGTTGTAGTGGTTGGAAGTTGTTGGACTTCATATCATGTGATAAATGGCTTCTATGCCTTGAATTGTTTCTCCTAAAATTTATACATGGAAGTTCTAAGCCTCAATACACCTTAATGTATCCTTACTTAGAAATAGGGCCTTAGTAGATATAATTTGTAAAGATGAGATTATTAGGGTAGATCTTAATCCCATATACCTGTATAAAAACAGGAAATTTGGACACAAATAACATGCACACAGGGAGAACACCCTGTGAAAGTTAAGGCAGAGCCTGGGATTATGCTTCTGCAAGCCAGGGAACACCAAAGATTGCCAGCAACCACCAGAAGCTAGGTGAGAGACCTGGAGCAGATTCTCATAATCCTCAGAAGGAACCAACTTTCCTGATCCTGTGACTTTGGACTGCTAGCCTTCAGAACTGCGAGACAGCACATTTCTGTTGTGTAAGCCACCCAGTTATTGACACTTAAAGAAAACCCTGTCAGGTTTCCATGGAGAGGAGATTTTCACCAAGCCAATTATCATGTGCCATGTGATCTTTTCCTAATGTAATACAGCAGTCAGGTTCAAAACATGAAAATTCTTAAAAGAGTCTGTGGAGTTGTGTATAATTTGTCCTCTTGGATGAGCACACATCACTTAAAAAATCTATTGGATTCACCCAGATAGAGATTTTTAAAAATGTGTATGTGTATATAAATTCTTAACTGTATAGTGTGGTATTCAGTTTTCTTTCTTTTTTTTTTTTTTTGTTTGAGACAGAGTCTCGCCCTGTCACCCAAGCTGGAGTGCAGTGGCATGATCTTAGCTCACTGTAACCTCCGCTTCCCAGGTTCAAGAGATTCTCCTGCCTCAGCCTCCTGAGTAGTTGGGATTACAGGCACCCACCATTGTG